GAATAAAGGAGATGGTTTCTACTCCTTATTCGATTGCAGTTAATGGAAATACATACGGGTTTTTCCATGGRGGAAGGGGGCTAAGGCAAGGGGATCTGTTATCCCCTTATCTCTTTACGATTGTGATGGAGGGGTTCTCTATGATCCTCAAGCAATGTATTTGGGAAGTTGCTGATTTTGGGTATCACAGAGGTTGCGAAGACTTGGATTTGACGCACTTATGCTTTGCTAATGACCTTTTTGTGTTCACAAAAGGTGATGTTCAGTCGGTTAAGGTTCTTAAAAAACACTTCATCTTTTCAAGAGTCGCTCGGGTTTAGGGCCAAGTCTTGAAAAGAGTGAGATTTTCTTTGGTAATGTCCCTCCTAATATTAAGGAGGCTATTCTTGAGTGTCTTCCTTTCAATCTTGGTTATTTTCCCTTTTGGTACTTGGGAGTTCCCTTATCCCATACCCGTTTGAAATCAGGTGATTATGGCCCTTTGATTGCTAAGATTAAGGGTCAAGTTCTTAATTGGAAGCCTAAGTTCCTTTTTTTTCGGGGGAGAAGACAACTTATTATTTCGGTCCTACAATCTTTACAGCTTTATTGGATGTCTATGTTCATGTTTCCTTCAGGGATTATTCACGATATTGAAGCTCTTTTCCGGAATTTCCTTTGGGCTCCAAGGGATGATTCTAGAGGAAGGTGAAGGTTATCTTGGGATGTGGTGTGTCGGTCTCTTGCGAGTGGAGGACTTGGTTTTAGGCGTTTGGCAACTTGGAATAGGGCGTTACTTGCTAAACACATCTGGGATATTGTGGCACCATAACTCGCTTTGGGTGAGATGTGTGTACCGGAATAATCTTAGATTTTCGCACTTCTGGATGGCTCGGGAAAACACCAATTGGTCATGGGTTCTGCGCAAGTTGTTGGATTTACGGCCCCAATTGCAACGGTTTATGATCTTCCAGATTGGTGATGGACGGGATTCAAACGCTTGGGAGGATAATTGGCTCTCCTGTGGTCATCTTTCTTCTTTCATCTCCTATAGATTCATTCATTCTTGTGGTTTTTCAACCTGATACTACGGTTCGGGAGCTAATTCTAAGTCTGGATAGGGAGTGGCCGACTGATTGGTGTCTCAGGTATGTTGTGCTTACTACTTCTCCATTGTCGTCCTTGAATGATTTTGTTTGTGATAGAGTTTTATGGGTAGATAATCACAACTCCGGTGTGAAGTTCATGATTAGTACAGCTTGGTCTTCACTAGGGAGGGGACCCATCCGGTTGTGCCTTGGTATAAATCGGTTTGGTTTTCGGGCCATATACCTAAGCATGCTTTCTGTCTTTGGCTTGCTTGTCATCGTCGCCTTCCTACCCAAGATCGTATGCTTTGGAAAGATGAGCCTCCGGACTTGGAATGCTCGCTTTGTAACAATTGCATGGATTGCCATACCCACCTATTTTTCCAATGTACTTTTTCAAGAGAGGTTTGGGACAGCATTTTACAAGCAGTGGATTGGATGAATATGCCAGATTCGTGGGACCAAATCATGGAAGTTATTTTGGATACGAGGAGATCGCCTAAAGAAAAATGCATAATCTTGCACTTGCGGCTTAGTCTACTACATCTGGCAAGAGCGGAATAGAAGATTTTTTACTGTGAATCGCCACACGGCTGTGCAATTTGTCAAGGAAATTAAGAGCAAAATATCCATTCGTGCGGCTTGGAAGGAAAGACGGGTTGAGAGGAGTGGTGGTATAAATGAGGGGTGAGTTTGTGGTTGGTAGGTTTTGGAGGGTGGTTGAGGGGGCTTTTCTTTGGTATAAGCTCCTGTTTATTTTTAGTAGTTTGTTTGTGTCAGTTGGGCTTTATGCTTTCTGGCTCGTTGTGGCTTGGTATGGTGTGGTGACCAAGTCCTTTGCTTTTCAGTTTGGTCGGGTGTGGCTTTATGCCTAAACTTTGTACTTTTTATTGGTTTTATAAATTTGTATGGTTTCCTATAAAAAAAACACCAAATGAACTCATTCTATCTCAGTTACTCCAATTTACCTCTGATTAGACTAAATATGACCAATTTATTACCATTGTAACTCAATTAGACTCAAATAGGATAAATAAGTCCATTATACCCATCAAATGCAAACCACCCAATCTATACAAACCGTGCAAACCACCATCATCCGTCGATTTCATTGTTTAATCTAATGAAATTTTTTCATGAAATTGTTTAATCTTGTGAAATTGTTTCATATAATACTTTTTTATGAAGTTGTTTCATATATGGTTATGAAATTGTTTCATATAATACTTTTTTTATTAACGTGGATATCCAAGCCGCTATGCGAGCCGACTAATCCCAGGACTACCATCTGCCTTGCAGATAGCCCGAAGTCACCGCATTTGAACATTCGTGGCCACAAGGGGATTTTTATTCCTCCTTGATTTGAACCTAGGATCTCCAGGTACTTTTGACCTTTGGAGTCAAGCTCAAACCAATCAGGCACCACCCTTATGGTTGTTTCATATAACACATAATGAAATTTTAATGAAATTAAAATAATGAAAATGATAATATCTATGATTAACACCCTCCACAATAAAAATAATTAATCAACCYCTCATAATTACAAAAAAAATGAACAAAATGAAAAATTATGATTGGTTGAATGAGGTTTGTACAGTTTGTACAAATAACGTGGTTTGCAAGTCAAGCCATTTGTATAAACCGTAGATTTCATTGTTTAATTTAATGAAATTGTTTAATATACGATGGAATTGTTTCATATAATTCTTTTTATTTGATGAAATTGTTTCAAATATTTTTGTTTCTATATAAAAATGAAACGTTTTCATGTATTTCTCATTTTGATGAAATTTGTTTTCTAAAATTAATATAATGAAGGTGATAACGTCCATAATTAACACTCTCCACAATAAAAATGACTAATCAACCCTCATAATTGTAAAAAGTGAAAAAAAAAATTATATGATTGACTGAATGTGAGTTGTACAGTTTGTACAAATAACTTGTTTGCATTTGATTAATCCCCTATATGTAACAGAGGCGTGCAAAGGTTTCTTTGGGCCGGATGGAGATCGTCCCTTGAATGCATGTAGGAACAAGGTTCAAGTCTACCAGTCTAAGTCTGTTAGGATGCCTCAGCAGAATCTGATAAATTGGCCCAAATCACTTTACCAATAGGATGCACTGCATATTCAGTGCCAACACGTTGTTGTATATATATGTGTGTGTGTGTGTGTGTTTTTATGTGTGTGTGAATAATCGTATGAGAAAGTAAGTTATAGTAAGAAGTGTAAGAAAATATCCGAACATTTGTTTATCCCTCATGCCCACCCATGTATGTATGCATGCATTCATCTATGTATATGTAATTAAATTTTTTTTAACATAGTGTGATCGAATTCTTGTGGGTAGAAAAAATGTGATAACATGGTATGGTGAAATTTGGGTTCTAGGTTAGATAATGTACTCATTTTAGTCATCTCTCGAATAGATGATTCTTTCTGCCTTCATTGTATAGTAATTTGGACACCGTATTCGATCTCCTTGTTTATGTTTAATAAAGTTCGACCAATGTTGAATCTATTCCTTTTGCTTCTATTACTTGATTACATCTCAATCGTTGCATCTGATGAGTAAACAACTAGTGTATATATATATATATATATATATATAGAGAGAGAGAGAGAGAGAGAGAGAGATTGGTTCAAATACTAACCAAAATTTTTGTATTAACTTTGTTAACCAAACTCAACCAATCATATTTCATCTTTTCTTTAAGTTCATATATAACTTATATATTAATGACAAGGGTAATTAAGTAATTTGTTATTTATGTAACTCTCAAATCATTAATTGGGAGTTACAAATCTAAAAAACTCAATAATTGATGATTATGTAATATTGATATTTTTTTATACGTGTTCATGTTTTGTAATTTCGATTTATTCTATCCATAATAATATTGATTTTGTAATTGTTAAAGAATTTCCGATTATAAAGATTTCAATATCGTCCGAGTAATATGGATAAACCTATTGGAAAACATATCAACAACAATGAGAATGAAAAGGTTAAAATCGTCTACGACTACAATCGAAATTCGAATTCATATGTAATTGTTAAAGAATTGTTYACAAGTGTTCATATTGTGTTCATATGTACACTAGCTGCATATCTCAAAATTGGATTGCTCCTGAATGTGTTCATAATGAATGAACTATTGTTTACAAACTGTTCATATTGTGTTCATATGTACACTAGATGTATATCTCAACATTGGTTTGCTCCTGAATGTGTTCATAATGAAGGAACTATTGTTCACAAACTGTTCATATTGTGTTCATACATGTTTTTTATATATATTTACTTTCGTATAGCAACTATTATTATTATATTCATATTGTGTTCATAAATGCTATACAATCCAAGTTCTTATATATGTCAATTTTTGTTCGTATTTGACACAATGATTCATATATATATATATATATGTGTGTGTGTGTGTGTGTGTGTGTGTGTGTGCGCGCGCGCGCATATGGTTCTTATATTAACAAAAATAAATTAATAAAAATAAAAAGATTTTTTGATTTTGTAACTCCCAATTAATGATATGGGAGTTACATAAAAAAGAAAATTACCTAAATATCCTTTTCTCCTTTGTTCACATATGTTCTTTGAAATTGTAAATTTAAAAAATTAATTTTTTATCATGATTAATCACAACCCTTTATTGTAATAATCAATGGCCAAGATTGGTTAACAAAGTTAATACAAAAATCTTGGTTAGTATTTGAACATATATATATATATATATATATATATATATATATGTAATATGTGTATGTATATATATATATAGTAAAAAATTCAAATAAAAAAATAAATATCATAAAAAAGTTAAGAAAGAAAGGTGAATTGAAAGAAAAGTTTATACGTGAGTCGATAAAAAAATTCATTTAAAATACAACAAATTCCTTAAGAAATAATCCATAGTTCAATTAAAACCCAATTCTTATACTATAAATAATGATTCACACAAATATTCAATTATATGCAAAAAGACAAATACATTCACACCCCTCGAACAACAATCTTAAATAAAATGAAATGATGAAACAATATTTATAAATAATCATAAGTCTAGCCCAATAAGAAAGATTTGATCATCAACATAGCTCCAGATGTAGCTAGAATATACGTTGCATGAGGATATGTGGAAGTAGCAGCCGAAGGTGTTACGGTGGGACGACTGGCTGGATTGGTGGTCGAAACTCCAGAATCCCCGCTGGTAGATGGTGGTGTTAAAGCGGGAGTCGTATCAGAGTCAGGTGTTAAGGCGGGTGTTGTATTAGATTCAGGTGTCGAAGTCGGTGACTGAGCCTCTGGGACTGTAGATGAACTTCCGGGAGACAAGGTTGGTCCCAACGCAGCCGGACCTATTCAATTTCAACACATACAACAAAAGATTAGCCTTCCTAACACCATCTGCAATCGTTTGCACCAAAATAAATTTGGTTTAGTGTAACCCATTACTTATTTTTAACACAAAATGAAGTAAATTGGTTTGGGTATGGAAGAGTATATTACCTGGTGAAGGAATAGGGGTGGCAGCAGCAGCTGCAATTTGGAAGCAATCACATTATTGGTAAGATATAATGAACACAAAATGCATTCAAATAAAGTTAAATTTATACTAATTCATATTTAATATAATAAAAGAACTTTATTTGATTAATTTAACGGTTAAAAAAAACTCATAATGAATTTGACGTTGTAATTTGTTAATCTTATAACATTTGATGATATGGATATCAAGTGGTCAAGTTATATTGTAAAATTGATTATGCTGAGAGAGTCACCGTTAAAAAAATTTGGCATCCACATCATCAATTTTATTATGTGAGTTGACATCTATGTCATCATATGTTATAAGATAATGTTACTAGTCAAATTAGGTACAAAATATGATACTTGAAAATTTTGTTACATTAATTATGGAAAAAAAAATGTTGTAACAGAGTTCTACGAACCTTTACACTGAAGAGGCACACCAGGCATTCTACAAGCACGAGGAAGAGAGATGGCTAAGGATTGGTTGATTGGAATTTGGAAAGGTACGCTACCGGTAGCAATCATGCAGAGACAATCTGTGCCACTACTGGTGACGGTCTTGAGTGAATTGCAACAATCGGCAGTTGGCGTGGAAGTAGCATTGGTGGTGCTATTGGTTATGAAGTTCAAACATGGAGTAAAGCTAGTAATCATCGAAGGCGAGCATGGTGTACTGATTTGAGAGTAAATCGGTACTACCATAGAACACATTGCCACTGCTATTGCCACGAGAACTAAGCATCGGAAAGCCATGTTTAGTATTATAAATAATCAGTAAGGTTTAAAGTTTATGGTTTAGGAATGATTGAAAAAACTGGTTGTGGATGAAGTGAAGTGAAGGAAAGGAATTTATAGTTGAATGGAGTGAGAAGGTAGTTTTGGAGTTGAACCACTTTGAACAACATTTGGCAATTAGGTGGAGGATTTTGCTTGTAAAACTTGAAGAAATAGATGGTTGACTCAATGATTAAAGAATTTGACTTTTTTTTATTCAAAGAATATGGCAACTAAATGATGGGTTGCATTTGATTATTGGTTTGTTAAATTTGGTGACCAACCTTAAACTTGCAATCCATTATTTTAGAGTTATATATATATATATATATATATATATATATATATATATATATATATATATATATATATATATATATATAATATGACATTGTTTTAGTGATTGTGGAAAAAAAATTAACGGTTAAATTGTATAAAAATAAAACTTATTTTCTTTCAGTGTTATTTTGAGAATATCTATTTTCCAAAATTTTATTTTAATTCATAGCGTACAATATTTCAGAAACAAAATTTAATATTAAAAACATTAATCCAGATATTTTTTTATTACAAAATTATAATATATTTTTTTAATTTGATCTGAATTAAATTGGACGAGACTAGATTAAATTGAATTGGACGACTAAGATTGAATTGAACCGAACAAAAACAGTAGTCTTAAAAAATACCTCCAATTGTGAAAATCAATTTCTGAATATAGATGCTCGCTTCCTGTACTTTTTCAAAATGATACGTATTATTAAAGAAAAAGCTTGAAAAAACTTAATAATTTTTTTTTATATTTTAAGCAATATAGTTTTTAATTATTTTTAACATCCTATGTTCTTTTAAATCAGTTAAAATTCAAGTGTTGAGGAGAGTTTATTTGTACCTCGACTAATCTCAGAAAAAATAGTCAAAAAAATTCTCAGTGGTCTTGTAGGACTGAATCCCCAAAAGCGATACTTGCTGTTGATTTTCATTATCATATCTTCATTGTAATTCACAGGGTCAGTTTTTACTTTTAAAAACTTCAAAAAATATGATTAATAGAACAAGATAATATATAGGAAACTCATTTTTTTTATAAAAGATCTAAAAAATAATTAGGATAATCATTAAAATCTAACAAAATATTCATTTATTATATTTATAAAAAAATATTATTAAACAATAAT